GGCCCAGGGGACGGCTAAGATTATCCTAGAGCAAATATGTGAAAGGAGTCTGTTCCAGACTTCAGTTTTGTTCTGCCGAAGCTCAGACTTTGGCACAGGATCAGGAACGTTTGAAGCACTCTCTGACGTGTCTGTCCTCGCGACCCGGTAAGAGAAGCAACCACGGAAGATGAAGATCTAATTACGAAAATGAGCAAACGCCTGGATGAATTTACTGAATGTCATGATTGCAAGCTTTTACTGGAGAGAACTAGACTCGTTTCACATAAGTTCCACAAGAAAACATGCGAAATATAGCAAATGTTTCGACAATGAATCATGTTCGATCAGACTTCGGTTCGGTCGTGTTCTCTAGTCGAAAACCCTGAGCATAAACGGCAGTGACAAAAATTACTGAGTCTGCTATCAGAATGGGTAGATTACACCAGAGAAAAGAATTGCTTGTCAGTTATTTTTCTTGAACTTCTTCAAGAACGTTTTTCTAAGTTCTCGAATTAGCTATGGTTTAAGGAATAACTTCATAAACACAGAATTAGATGCTAAAATTTGGTAACTTTTTTACCATAGAAGATTATTCTTTGGTAGACTCTGAAATCTAATTTTGAACGTTGAATCTGTAGCACGTCTGTCTGTAATGTTGAATACAGACAGTTTGAGATGACAAATTGAAAAAGAGAAGGCATTTTTAATTTACTTTCTTATATTGTGCATCGGTATTCAGTATCTAATTTAATCAACAGCCCAATTTTGTTTTAAATTGCGAAATCCCCGCTGATGATGTTTGCAATACCAACAGTGTTCTCCACTTTTAATTGTGATACACCGCCAATGTTATATCCTGTAGATCAAAGTACAGAAGTGAAATAGACGACTTTGTTCAAGTTAAAATTAGCATGCCTTACCCGTTTGGTTTACGTTCCTGTTCGTCGTAAGTATCGTACAACTTTCATGTGCGATGAAAATTGCTCATCTGATTATTCCAGATTAGCTTCCGACTAATCGAGGCTCAAATCTTTAGCTTAGTTGGCGATGTTGCTGGGTATTGAGCCGCCGGCGGTGGTCTGCTGAACGCTGGTAATTCTCCATGCTTGATTTTACTTGTAACGTATATCTTGTAGATTTTGAGAACGCCTCAGCTGAAAATGGGAAATTGTTGTGAGACGTCTGCATCCACGTCAAATCGGCATAAGCTGCATCAGCCGTTGCCGCAGCACGTAGCCGAAAATTCGTTTCAGTCCAGCGGTTCACCATTAGTGATCTCAGCAGACGGCCAATTCAGATTTGCAGTACCGAACGGTGTTCAGTCGGCGTCTTCGCCGAATCAGGTCGGTACTCCCCTCTGCAGAAGAACGACCAATGTTCCGTCTGTGTCTATACAGTCTCCAGCTCCTGTGCCAGCCAAAAAGCCCTTCACGCCAGGTAACACCGTCAGTTCTCATCATTGCTTCTGAAATTTCGGCAGATCGGCTGGTATTTGCTGATGTTGTCGCAATTTGCGATCCACTTGTAATACTGAAGGTTGAACACTAATGAATACTGTGCTGTGATAATGTTTTCCTAAAATTTTTTCTCCCTCTTATTGCTATTAATGCGAGTCTCCTTAAACACGTTCGGTTTCTGCAGTTCAGGCAATTGTTTTTAGCGGAAGTGTACGCCTTCTCATATAGAAATTATAATGCTTCTTTCAGTTTTATTCACAGTTTTGCGTAGATTGAGAAGATACTGAGCAAACCGCGTTTCGGGATCAAAGTTTTATGGGTTAATTCAGACAGGAGGCCTCAAAGAACAGATGCTGAAATAATGCAGCTGTGCTCATGAAGAACTTTTGCTAAAACATTTGCACGGTTGGACTGTCAGTGATGTTTGGCGCGACATATAGTAAATGAACCTTTAACTCAACATTTTGACTTCAATAACAGATACCGTCATCATAAAACTATTGACAAAGAAAGAAATACCAATAGTTCAGAAATTCCTATTTCTGTTCAACAGTGACAGTTTCTAAGGTCTAAGCGTTGGACCACAAGTATACTTGCTATCTCTCGGGTCAGAAGCCATTGTCCCTTTAAACATCGTGTTAAACGATTGTTTCATTGGTTGTTCCATTCAAGCATTACCATAAATATTCATGAATTATGCTCCGCTTGGATGTTGTGATGTATATCTAAAGAT